AAGAGCATGTGGTGAAAGGACAAGGGGAAATGGCTTCGAACTGAAACAGAATAGATGTAAGACTCTAAGAAAAAAAGAATTTTTTTCTTAGAGTCTTACATCTGTTCTGTTTCAGGGTCTTCATCTATTCTGTGAGAGTGGTCAGGCACTGGCACAGCTTGCCCAGAGAGGGTGCAGATGCCCTGTCCCTGACATGTTCAAGGATGGACACCCAGATGGGGCTTTTAGCAACTCAGTCTAGTGAAAGGAATCCCTCCCTGACCATGGTGGGGGGAGCAGAAGTAGATTATGTTAAACATCCCCTTCAACACAAGCCATTTTATGTTTCTATGGTAATTTTGACTGAGAGCAACTTTATCTCCTGCCATATGAAAACTCTGTCAGTGTGAGTGTGAGAAGTTTCTCTTGTACTTGTACAAGGAAAAGAAGAATCTACTGCTAACTATGCTACGATAGTGGCAATCCCATTTCTAATAATGGGGAACTAGGAACCAAACTTCTAGTAATGGGGAACTGTTACCAAACAGAGAACAAAAAATTAAGGACATAAAAAATCCACTGATGTTTTGGAAAAAACAAGATACAGTTAAATTAGAAATAAATCCAATAAAAGCCATCATAGAGTATTAAAATGCCACGATTCTTCACTATTAACTGTGGCTTACATAATTTCACTGAAGTAGAAATAACTATGTAACTGCACAGTATAGTGAAAAGTAGTTTCATGTCTTCTTCCTTGTCTAATTCCTGTCCCTTTTATAAAAATTCACATGAGCAAATGATGAATATGGTAGGGGGAATATGGCCTATTGAAAAGGATAGTACCAGAAACTGCTTTCAAATTCCTGCTAGCACTGGGAGGAGATATGTAGGATGATAATGTCCTTCAACAAGCAGTCTAAAAAAAACCCACTTATTGGGAAGAAATGAAATGCTGGGCTAAAAATTGCTCCTGCACACAAAGTTCAAGAAGATTACATTTATGGACAAACATGAAGGTCAAGGGACAAAAAGCTCTTCCCACAGAAATACCAGGGAGTAAACCACAAGATCTTTGTGGTTACAGAATTGTATTTACTCCTTCCCTCCCCAAAGGAGAAACCAGTGAGTGCAGATGAGGAAGGAGGCAGACAGCAGCCAAGCCCAGATCTTTCTGTTGTCACCACTTTGCATGTCCCTGTCCTAGGGTGATGTTATGATGCTTGTATCCCCATGGTGTGTTCTGTTAATGCTGGATATCGTATTCTGTGCCTTCAAGACTGGCTCTGAGAGGAAAGGGGAGAGAAGAAGCACGGAGTTTGTTATCAGAGACTTCACTCACTCCACATACGGCTGAACAGAGAAATCCACTGCAGTGTCTGGGCACAGACAGGGCAGAACAGGACCCTCCTTTGATCTTTAGTTAGTTTAGCTGGCTGAGGCAGAGAAGTTCCCTGGAATGGTTTTCTCTTTCCCTTTTCTTAGAACTGTTCTAACCTGCTCCAAACTGAGACCCAGGGAAACACCGAGAGCTTGCACTTTGTGGCCACCGGGGCTGCTGTGGGCAGCGGCCTTTGCCAGTGCCAGAGGGATTGATAACAGAGAGATCACCCACAGGAGAGGCTTTCTGAATTTGTCATCTCTTCAGAGCAGCAAATTAGTTTTGTCATCTGGTATTGTTCATTTTGTGTGCTGGGGAGTGCTCTGCCTGTTAATATAAAAAGATTTTTTCCCACTTCTCGCTGAGAAAATTTTTTCCTGATCTGGTTGGGTGAAGGGGCCATGTGGCTTGGCTTTCTGTGGGGGGGGCCCTTTTGGAGGTTTTCTCCCAAATTTGCCCTAAACCAGGACAGTCCCTCAAAAATGAACAGAAAGTGTACAGCAGAGGTGTAGTCTGACTAATCTATTCCACTGATGGTTTTCCAGCATATTCTTTTTGAGAAGAATTACCAACCAACTGTAAGGTTTATTTGGTTTCCTATTAAACCAGATCTAAGCCTGTTTTTAATTAAAAACAAAGATCAGGCAAGAGAATTTAAATGTTCAACATCAGTCCTCAAACCTCAAGATATTTCCTCTTTTTTTTACTGCAACTTTTGGTTTCATTAATTTCATTCATTTCAACTTTCATTCTCCCAACAGTCTCCATTCAAGTCACTCCCAAATACTCATGATTCTGCCTTGGTTCCTCTTAAATCTTGGCTTTCACACTAATCTCCAGTTATCCCACAACTTGTATTTTTTTTTAATTGGTAAGTTTTATTTTTTTTCCCACAACTTGTTGTTGTTTTTTTTTTATTGGTAAGTTTTTTTACCTAAATTGTTTTCCTGATATAATGTTATTAGCACAGAAATATTTTACATATTAAGAGTTCAGTTTTCCAAATCCAAGGCAGGATGCTGGTGAAACCCTCCACTGTTCTGGAAGTGAGCCTGCAAATCTCTCCAGAGCCAAGGTCCCCAGGTAACTCAGCTCTGGGACATACCCGACAGACAGAAGTTAGCATCTCTGAGCTGGGACAAGGAAGTTTCAAAACATAAGATATTTTAAAAAATTAAAAAATGATCTGTTTAGGCATAGCACCCTGTCACCTGTATGCCCTTTACTTGCTTTTGGGAGCTCAGGTGTTGATACTGATGTATTGTGTCAGACCTGGGAGCTATACAGATCAGTTGTTACAAGTAGCTTTTTAAACACAGCGTGAGCTTCGGATTTATCATGTGTCCTTTAAGCAAAAAAAGGGGTTATTGGTTTTAGGATTTGAATGCAGCCTTGACTTCCAGTTTATTATTTTATCACTATGCAATATTCCTTGTGTCTGCTTTGGTCAGGAAGCTTTACTCAGATTCTGATACACACTTCAGGGAAAGTGGGTATTCTCCAGAGAGATGACAATTTTAGAACTAATTTTTATTTTCTCCTTTGAGAATCCCAACCTTTTCAATTTACATATATCTGATTTGCAGCTTTTTTTCTATCTTTTCAGCTGCAGTCATAGAATTATAAAATCATAGAATGGTTTGAGTTGTAAGGGACCTTAAGGATCATCTACTTACAATGCCTTTGCCATTGATGACATTCACTAGATCAGGTTGCTCAGGGCCCAATCCAGACTGACCTTGAATGTATCTGTGGATAGGGCATCCACAGCTCCTCTGATCCAGATAGGTCTTTCTTCTCCCCAGCTGGAAATACACTTCTGGAAATTCGCAATATATGGTGTTTTTCTACAACAGGTCTGAGCTACATCACTCTGGATCTTGGGGCATTTCCTGTCTCCCTGTGCACTTGTCTTTTCTCACCTCTCCTCACCCCTCCATGCCACAGCAGCTATTATTACCTTCTGTTTGCCCCAGCAGGCTTTGGATGCATTACCACCCATTTTTGCAACACCTGTCTCATCCCAGCTGCAGTTTGGATGAGCAAAAGTGCTTTGGTATGCAGTATAGTAAGTTCCTGTAGTGTCTGGATATTGCAAGTAGCTTATTTTTTTGTCTGCATTCCTGTTAAGAAGGGCAGCAGTTGAATAGGATGAGCTAAATAGTTGTTTGCACTTCAACAACAGGCTGACAGTTATGTAAAATACTTTTATGTGCAATCTCTTCTGATCCTCTGCTGGTTCAGAGGAGTATTATGGCCAGATTCAGCATGCAGGCTCTTGCAAAGACATTTTCATAAACTAGGGCACTGCTAAGCATAGAGGAGACCAAGACCAAGGTTGCTCTGTTTCTTCATCCTCAGCATTTACCTTTTCTTTCTACTTAATCTCCTGTCTTCAGCATCTACAGTTTAATCCTGTGGGATAAGCACAAGACCTCTTTACCAAAGTGCTTCTACAAATACTGGTGATACAAATCACCTTGCAGAGGCTACTTCGAAGTGACAAGGTCTTCTGGCCAGATCAGTAGGAGTTGCTTTAGCGTATTATTCTAAAATGGGATTAGTTAAGTAACTCTATAGCCCAATTGAAATGCTGAGCCCAATTCACTTTTCTTAGCTTCCCCCTTCTCTTTACTAACTAAATGGCACTGATTAGGCTGTCAATTGAGCATTTTCTGAAAGGGCAGTTATGGTATCATTAATGGAATTCAGCAGCAAATTAATACACTGACAAGCTAACTGTAATTTTCATGAGCAGCAGTGGTACACACACAAATATTCAAGCAGCTTCTGAAAACCAGCCTGCTTGTGAAAGCAGACACCTATTCCATTGCATAAAGATAATTTACAGTCACAGGGAACAACTATTTTGTATTGTCAATTATTATATGTAGGAAAAGCAATTGCATTCATCAAGATATACATATTCAGATGCCTTCATCTAAGCAAATAACTATTTTTCATTAGGATTACCAGAGTAGTTTAATTAGGATTAAAAGTAATGCCTGATTTAATTTTTTATATTATTTAATAACAATATACATCTGTTAGAGTGCTACCTAGTCAAATAGGAAGTCCAGTTTCTCTTAGTATATATTGTCAGGATAAACACTGATGTGTGCTAAAATTCATTGAAAAAGCACAAATAACATATTAAAATATGAATTAATTACAAAATATCCCATGTAAAGAATGCTCTTCTATTCATTGTTAATTTTTCAATTCTTACTACAATTTTTGCCATTAGATTTATGATTCAAACATTCTATTATTTTTAAAGATTAATCTTATCAGTTTTACCTGTGAAAAGCTATAAAATAGCTATGCAAATTAGTATATTTTTATTTAAATATATTCTGTTAAATAACAGCGATTTTAATTCAAAATAACTTCAAAATTCTGGAAGGTCATTTTGCATTTGTAACAGCTGTCCTCACAACAGTAAGCAGACTCTGAATGTTTTGTTCAGAAATATTTTGCACACTTCACTGCGGTTTGAATTGTCTAGGCAACTGACTCTTAGTTAACTTATTCAAAAGTCTCTTTTAATCTGTTATCTGTATGTATTTTGTTTATCTGTATGTGTTTTGGTTTAGTGTATTAGTATATCCAGTGTTATCATTCATTTTTTCCTACTCACCTCCAAAGTAAGAGCCATCTGTCAGCTTCAGCTCCTTGTTGGATTTGGTGATGACACCAGCAACACCGTGTTGAATGAAATACATCTTCTTACCCACAGCCCCTTCTCGGATAATATAATCTCCAGGCTGGAACACCTCAAATCTCAGTTTGCTTAGCATGGCAGTCACAAAATTTGGGTCTGCATTAGCAAAAAGAGGCATTGTAGCCACCAGCTTCCGACAGTTGAAGTTGACAATCTCCTAAATGGGAAGGAAACATCATGATAATAATGGTCAGTAAATGTGTTCAATATGATGGGCTTTGAAAAAAAGACATTCTGCTTTCTTAATAAAGAATTTCTTTATGCTCATATTGGACTTTTCTGGGTCTCTGTGCTCACTTTATAACGTATTTTCTTGTGTTTCTAGAGAAGTGATTGAAACAAAAGTGCAGTCTGACTTGTATTTCTAAGGTTAAAAGTTGTCTTCCTTTGGTGACTTTTCACATGTTATTTATTATTCCCATTGGAGTTTAAGAGGACAATGTGAAAGAAAGGTAAAAATTACATAGGAATGACACTGCTTGACAACCAGATTGGCTGCTGCAATAACTGTATTAAGTGATGAAATTATGCAAACCCTATGTTTCCAAAAATTACACCATCTTTCTGTTTTGAACATATCTAGTGGTAATATAAATATATAGTACATTAGATAGTTGAAATCAACAGGAAAATTTCCTGCAGTTTCTAATTAATTTTGTAAACACAGAAGCATACATTTCTGCCTGTTAAAAAGATGTGTATAAAGTAGGCCCCTAAATGCAGAAAGCACTACTATTCTCCTAGGGCCTTAAGGATTTCTCCTTCCAAGAAGAAACTGCATTTATATTTACAGAGCACACTGTAAGCTCATCTGCATGAAAAGATTAGTACCAAAAAAAGCTGATAATGTCATACTTGCTTTAAATAAATAAAAAGAAAACAAAACCATAGGAATAATTTATGAAATATTTTCAAGCTCATTCTTGCAGACCTTACATTGTCTTGGGAAATGAACATGGTCAGTTGCCATTACAGATTTAACATTGTATTGAAAATCTGAGACTAATCAGTATTGCACACTGAGAATGGCTCAGGCAGGCAACATCTACTGAGGTAGCAAACCTAACATGACAGGAAGAGCAAATATAATCATCTGTATATAAATGCAGACAGAGCAAATAAAAGAAAAATACAGCCAGCAGTCACTTAACTGCTTGCAAAACTAAATATGCCTTTATTGCCTAGAATTTCTTAAATACTTCAAGAATGATGTAAAGGACGCAGTCCACCTACTAGTGCTCTCACTCCCATGACTGCATTCCTGCTGGAAGTGGCTCTTTCAACATCCCATGCATCTGCTGTCTCATATATCCCATATATGCCATGCAGAACAACCCTGAGCATGAAGCTCAGATATAATTATCCAGGGATCACACAAATTCTTTTCCTCTCCCTGTCCCACAATATAATAACCTGCTTGTAGATGTGTTGGGGAAGTTCAAGTAATTTCACACCATAAGCAACAAAACCATAGTGGGTTCTTCAAATCAGTTCCCTTGCATCTGGGAAAGATGTAGGAATTCCCCTCTGAAGGGAAGACATTTGTTACTGAAGCAACTAACAGGCAAGTGCATTAAGAGTGAGAAGAGTGAAGAAACAACCACCTTTCCCTGAGCAATCAACATCCTTTCCAAATAAATCCAGTGGGACTTAGAAAAGTAAATTTGAACAAAATGTCTTACTACAAACTAGTGAGCACCCTACAAACTAGTTTCCCATGTAAAAAAAGCATGGTAAATTTGATGCAGGACGTCTTGTGTTTGCCTGAATCCAAAAATTATTGCAAGTAGCATCATGTGGACTGCCACATTCAAATCTGTGAATACTGCTGAGTCAGTAGGTCAAGAAGGGCAATGCCAAGATACCCTCTAAGTATATTTTTTATGAGGCAATAAGTATCATAATGAGATTCCAACTGTCTGCCTTTCTAAGGCATGAGGATAAGCTTATTTTCCTTCTTGTTTAAACTCTACATTTATTAGTAATGCTCCAGCCATCACCCCCCTCCCAAAGGAAAGTTATTTGCTTCTCCAACTGCCAGCAGTGTGGTGGCATCCCATGAGGAGCCCCAGACTACATCCCCTGCTCCCCGTGAGACTGCCTTGCTGCCGTCTCCACTGATGCTGGCAACAGCTATTACTTGTCTTGTCTTGCTCAGGGACTTTTCAGTAGGCTTGCTGCTTGTTTGCTGCTTCTGAAAGTGAATAGCTTGTCTTGCATGCCCAGGAGGCAGAGAAAGGAAATTACTAAAGAAAGCAAAAATTGACTGGAAATTATATAGAAGCTGGTGGGGAAGCACAGAAAAGGCTGGGAGAGTAGAAAGTTCAGCTCCAGTCAAGATTAGGAAGAAAGAGTAAAATAGACTTAGGTGGAATAGTACTATGAAAGAGAGAATGGGAAGAAACACAAAGAAGGAACAGTAAGACCTAGAAAAAAATAAACAGAAAAAAAAAGAAGGCAGGAATCTTGACTTTAAAAACAGGTTGAGAAATGGAAATTGCAAAAAAGTGAGAACACAGGAACACAAAACCTGGAGAATAGGTGTCTGGAGTGAAAGCTGAAAAGTAGGGCAGATGAAGTAAACAAAAGGGAAATTGGAAAAAAAAAGTTATCCCTAACGTATCTTTAGTATAGAGAGGGGAGAATTCAGATCTGGATGAATCCTCTGTAGAGACCCAGTCCTACCCACCCAGAAGGGAATTCATCACATCTTGGGAATCCCAACAAAACATACCTTTGAAAGAGGATTTTCACCCATGGAATCTCATGTCCTCTTATGGCTCAATCTTCTGCCCACTTTTCTGTCACATTATGTAACCTGTATCTGGATATACCCATGTATGCACACACATTATCCTGCTCAGCCTGAGTTGCCTAATGAAGGTACCAACATAGCTACAAAACCACCCTGCTGAGGTAATTTCAGCTGTTATTCCTAGTAATGCATTCATTTTGTTGATTAGTTTTCTGTGAAAGTTTGCACTAAAGTACAAACTTCCCTTATTTAAGATGTTAGAAGGTGGAAAATTACTGAGGGAGAAAGAAATGTGTCATTTTTAAGTGCTTTGTTTTTCTTTAAAGTGTTCTTTTATTTAAATATGAGATCATTCGGAGCAGTAAAATACATTTCCCCGAATCTTAATCACAGGCAGTTCTGCAATTTCAGGTTCTTGTGTATTACTTTAAATATCATCCTGGGGAGAAAGAAACAGTAAAGATTATGAAAGTGTTTTATGTAACTCAGAAGGTACTAGGAGAAAAAGTTCTGAGTTTTAAAAGAGAGGTACCAAAAGAACAAACTGACAAATTAAGAGTTGACATTTTGTATAGAGAAAAATCTTTTGCTCTTATTTTTCTTTTAATTCTTTGGAGCTAGACTAGTGCCCAATATTATATCTTCATTAAATGATATTTTGGCTCACCTCTACTTAAAGAAAATACCAAAAGAAGCCTGAGAAAAGGATCACGGAAGACAATACCAAATGAAGCTTGAAGAAGGGATTAGGAATGCGTTATATAGCTGAAATGGTTAAAGAGCAAGAATGAATCAGACCTAGATAGAGCAAGTCTTGATCTATTCCAATTGCTGGTCTCTTACACAATAATTAAGAGATGCAATGGTCTGTTTTATATAAGAGATTGGTTAGGTAATTACACTGGCTTCTGCTCCTTTGAACTATATTGGATTTATTACTCATCTTGACCTTTCTGGATTTTTTTCCAAACTGATGTTAAAGCATCAGATATTATCATTTTGTGTGGGTTCGATATTTCTTGATGGCTTCTCTGAAGCATCTCAAGATGTTATAGAAGCAGTCACAAGACTGTCCTAGCTGTGACTGCAGTTCTCTGATGGCATCTCTAGAAGTTTTTAGGACCTCTTTTCCAGAAGATTTTTAGATGGATTGTAGTTAGACTGACTGGAAAATCCTGTTGCCATAAAAAAGGAAAAGTTCTTGAAAGATCTGTATGCCTGAAAAGTTCTTTACTTTTTCTCAGTAATCCAGTTGAGCTAATAAAAGGTACTACTTCCATCAACAAACTATGTTATTTCTATGTGTAGGCCATTTGGAAAAATGGCTTAGTTTAGCTTTATTATGGGACTTCTACATACTATTGCAAAAATCTAGTGCATAACTGTAACAGTGCACCTTTTTTTTCCCAAGTGTTCCTTTACATTTTGCTTTAAAAGGATGTGAAATTAAATCAGTCTTAATTTCCTCATCATTGAAAGGAAGAAATCACTTTACTGAGAAAAGTATTTTTTCCCTTAGAAATAACTTGCAAATGAAAAATTACTCACCCATCACTAAGAGAGAACCATAGGCATTATATTTAGGGATTTGGGTTAGTTTGAGCAGGTTAGATATATTTAAACCCAGTTCTAAGGAGCTATATTGTGTATATGTTCATGATTTCCTGTAATTTTTTAACCCATTCGTCAATTATAGTTGAGTTTGGCAGAAAGGAGGCATCTCACTGATACTAAGTTCTCACAGGTTTTATGACAGCAGGCAGTCAGGAGGACTAGGATTAGTATCCCACTGAGGGAATGACTACATCATTATCTAACAACTTGTTAAATGCCAGAAAATCTACATGTGGCAATAGGATGCAATATTCTTCATTTCTGGTGCACCTGAAGTTGTTCAAATTGCTTTGACACATTCTGTTTTATCATCTCTACAGAGTGTATGACTTAAAAATAAATTTTGTACAGAGGCCTTTCATGTAAGTAAAAACAACTACGGAATTTTTTTTTTCTCTTTGAATGGGATTGCCTCAACTTTCCATTTTTCAATTACACTGAGACTCTGCTTAAATTTTACTTTTAAACATGGTAGCTCTTCACCAGTATGTCTAGAATTGTGTCAAGAAACACTATTCTTTTTCCTTCAGGATTTGGTATTTTGTCATTTTGTCAAACAAACTGGATATTCCTCGTGTCTGTTTTAGAAGCCGGTGTAGCCCCTGTGGTTATATATTTTAAAGCCCAAGAATACTCTGGTCTGAGGTACCAACCTATCTGACCCAAAGACAAAGCACAAAACCTGAAAAAAGCCTTTGATCTCTAAGGCAAAGAGAGTCCATGGAATCTCAATTGCCTTGAAAGCCAGCGACCAGCCTGTCTATTTCATTTTCAAGGCCCTCCAGCTC